ACTGAGTAGAGCTGTTACTGTCGGACGCCTCAGATCTTCTCTGTCCTGGTCGTGTGGTCCAGAGTCAAACTACTGTCCTGCAGAACACGTGAGCTCCAGCGTGTCCACACTCGTCTACACTCTGGACTCCACACTAGGGCCTGATCGATCTGGACTTTTTTGTGGCCGATACGATTCAGATAAAATGGTAGTTGGAGGAGCCGATATATTTAGTGCTGTAAAAATGTGCTGTAAATCTTCAGTTGATTATAAAACTTAGATTTGACTTTACTTAGATTGACCATATTTCCATTTGTGAAAACCCGGACACCTGACGGAGGCGGGAGGAGGGGCCTCCACATTGAGCTACAGTCGTCCCTCGATATATCGCGGTTCACCTTTCGCGGTCTCGCTGATTTTTTTATTTTTATTTTTTAACCCATGGGTGGGTCAGGACTAAACCAGGTCTAAACCAGGACTAATCTTGGATTTAAGAGAGAAAACGCTGAGCAGTTTGTCTGCAAAGCCCATCAGGCAACTGCCACGTTTAACTCCGAGAGGTGTGGAGCTGAGCCGCGCCTTTCTCCTGCGTCACCTCCAGCCCAACACGGACTCCTGGTTCAGTCCTGGTTCAGTCCTGGTTCAGTCCTGGTTCAGTCCTGGTTCAGTCCTGGTTCAGTCCTGGTTCAGTCCTGGTTCAGTCCTGGTTCAGTCCTGGTTCAGTCCTGGTTCTGGTTCAGTCCTGGTTCTGATTCAGTCCTGGTTCAGTCCTGGTTCACTCCCTGGTTTAGTCTTGGTTCAGTCTGTGGTGTAGGCAGGGCAAAAGTTTGATATAGTCTCGGGTTAACGGGCAGGTGTGGTCCTGTCCTGTGCAGGTGTGGTCCTGTACTGGCAGGTGTGGTCCTGTTGTACTGTGAGTCTCCAAAAATGTCCCCGTGCAGGACTCTGTGCTGTCGGCTCCATTATGGAATAAATGAATCTTCAGTTTGTTACATAAAGAAGGAGGAAAATAACAAAAGGATGACAACAGCAACAAGTTTGAAGAAGGAAGTAAAAAGTGTTGTAAGTGTCCTGTGTGAGAAAAGTGTTTAAAGTTTGTGGTGAGGTTTTACAGACTTAAAACAGACAGAATAATTGTAAAATATAAAGTTGATACTTGGTGGATTTCACCTGTCGCAGGTTATTTTTAGAACATAACTCCCACGATAAACGAGGGACACTGTCCTCTCACCTCAGCCTGTGCACATGGACTCACACTTGTCCCGACCAGGACGGAAAACTGAGCATTTCTTGTACATGTCATTTGTTAAATCCACATTTGTGCTTCGGTGTGTTTCAGACTGACCGACTGTTTGTGTCTCGCTCCTTCTGAGTCACAGACGAGAGACGCTCAGTTTAATGAACGATACTGAAAACCCGGACATTTGGATCACTTAAAAAAAAAAAAACCCGGACATGATGCAAAATACGGACATGTCCAAGGAAAAACGGACGTTTGGTCGCCCTAACTTTACTGGATTTTAAATTGGGTTTGTTTAGGTGATATTTCCTGTTCTTCTGTCTCTTTACGTCAGATTCAAAGACAGTAGGTCAGACTAACAGCATCACATTCTAGTCTGTAAACAATACAGAACACAGATAAATGTAGAAAATGACAAAGATGGTCTCGATTTGGTCTCGATTTGGTCTCGGTCTTGGGAGCCTGTGGTCTGGTCCTGGTCCTGGTCTTGACTTCAACACTAGTGTAGTGTTTGTAGTGAACACAAACCTGAGGCCACGTCGCCTCTCGCTCACTCTTCTCACCTTTTTCTCCCCTGACCCGTTTTCCTGCCTGGTCTGTGTCCAGTGTGGAGATTCTGTGTGAAGATGCAGCCAAACGAGACTGTGTAAAACTGTTTGAACTCCACCTCTGTCCAGAAAACCACGTGGTAAAGAAGTCAAGTTATTTATCAAGACGAGAGCCTGAGCGCTCGGCGAGGTCTTTGTGTATACGGAGAGAACAAAGGTGAGACTTCAGGGCGTCAGTCCTCACTCTGGTTCATTCGCTCTGGTTCATTTGCTGCACATTTGTTTTGTGTTATATTTGCACATCAATCAGTGTTGATGTTGTTTTCCCCTATGGAAAAAAACTGGAAAAAAAAAAAAAGAATTGACCAGTGTCTTTGTAGTAAATCTTTATATAAGGTTAATAGTGCCATGTGTGGTTTACTGGAGGGACTATGTCTCTGGACTGGCCTGGGAACGTCTCGGGATCCCCCCGGAGGAGCTGGAGGACGTGTGTGTGGAGAGGGAAGTCTGGGAGTCCCTCCTCAGACTGTTGCCCCCGCGACCCGACCCCAGATAAGCGGAAGAAAATGGATGGATGGATGGAAGGTTTCCTCCTGAAAGTGTTTCTCCTTTTGCATTTTTCTCATACAACTAAATTATGAGAAACTAGTAAAGATAAAGTGAACATTTTGCATGACATTTACAGGTAATGTACATGATCAACTACATTTTCTTTAAATGTTCCATGTAATGTTTGAATTCTTTAATTATATGTTGCAGAAAAAACAATCAGAGTGTGAAGGGGGATTTGAACCCAGGTCACACATGTGGAAGTTCAGTGATTTAACAATTGAACAAACTGACCACTGAGTCCAGAGGGAACAACAGCAGATATTGAGGATAATTACAAGTACTTTGGTATTTGTAACTGATTTGACTCTTGTCAGTTGAGGCGTGTGAAAAAAACAGAAGTGCACAGCTGCTTTTTGGAATATCACAAGTCAATATAAACTTTTGTAATAAAGAGGATTTTTCAGAGTAAAAATCTTTTCACAGCCTGATGTTTGTTCACCCACACACACACACATACACACAACACAGCAATCGAGTTTAAAGAAACAATCATCATTTCACTTGTTTTTCTGTGATTCTGTGGTAAAAATGACCTTTGTCCAACACTTGTGAGGACATTATTGTGTGTGTGATCAGTGTCATATTCAGCCCTTGCAGGTTACAAACATTTATATGTTTCATGCTGCACATATTTACCAAAGAACTTGTAACTGTTTTCAGTGTCATATACAAATCTTTTAGGATTCATATGAAACATGTTAAAACGGTGTATGATTTGTCTAAACCTTTTCCATATGGGTTAGTTCAGCACTGGTCTTTGGACAGTTGTGCGGGGGGGGGGGGGGGGGGTGGCATGAACTGTACCAGTGGAAATGAGGATTATCTCACCGAGCGCAGCACGTTCAGATCAACATCGATTTATCAGTTAAACAGTTTACACTCCAAGAATAAATGTGACTGAAAAACTCTTCACAAGGTTTGGCCAAAACATAGTTACTAAAGTCTGTGGACATGTGCAGTTTGAAAAAGTCTCAAATGGGACAAAGACAGACACTAGACTTTATATCTGTACAAAATAAAGCCTAAAAAAAAGTCTAAAAAAAATAAAGTGTTTCAAGATGTCCACAGCCAATTGTCAGTCAGTAAAAAAAAAAAAAAGCGTTCAGACTTAGAAGGAATAAATATTAAATTACTTTTCTTTATTGGTACAAATGCATTAACTCATTTTTGTTCATGAAATTACTACTGAAGACTGCTCTGATTAGAAGTTCTCATTTATTTCTTATTAAAAAGCAAAAACAGATGAGATTTCTGCATGTTCTGTTCAAACGGACTCTTCTTCTGATTCCAGCTCCTACAACATGGACCCACTTGGACCTGGCCCCGGGTCTAAACCCAGACCTGGACCTGATCCCAGCTCTGTGTCTCTGAAGAGTGACCGCTCCAGAACCCCTCCTCCTGAGTTTAGAGAAGCTCCTCCTGAAGACCAGAGGTGAGACCTGTTTCATCTCTGAGCTCTGGACATGTTCTTAGGACAGCGCCACCTGCTGGTCATCCTTCACCAGGGCAAACAGTGACCCTGTGTTTGAATGGAGCTGCTCTCAGTGTTCACTCACCCGTCCAAATAATGGAATGGTTTGGAGGTTTGTGATGGACGAGTGTGGGTTTGGAGGTTTGTGATAGACGAGTGTGGGTTTGGAGGTTTGTGATGGACGAGTGTGGGTTTGGAGGTTTGTGATAGACGAGTGTGGGTTTGGAGGTTTGTAATGGATGAGTGTAGGTTTGGAGGTTCTGATGGACAAGTGTGAGTTTGGAGGTTTGTTATGGACGAGTGTGGGTTTGGAGGTTTGTGAGGGACAAGTGTGGGTTTGGAGATTTGTGATGGACGAGTGTGGGTTTGGAGGTTCTGATGGATGAGTGTGGGTCTGGAGGTTTGTGAGGGACGAGTGTGGGTTTGGAGGTTCTGATGGATGAGTGTGGGTTTGGAGGTTTGTGATGGACGAGTGTGGGTTTGGAGGTTTGTGATGGACGAGTGTGAGTTTGGAGATTTATGATGGACGAGTGTGGGTTTGGAGGTTTGTGATGGATGAGTGTGGGTTTGGAGGTTTGTGATGTATTAGTGTGTGTTTGGAGGTTCTGATGGACGAGTGTGGGTTTGGAGGTTTGTGATGGACGAGTGTGGGTTTGGAGGTTCTGATGGACGAGTGTGGGTTTGGAGTTTGTGATGGACGAGTGTGGGTTTGGAGATTTGTGATGGACGAGTGTGGGTCTGGAGGTTTGTGATAGACGAGTGTGGGTTTGGAAGTTTGTGAGGGACGAGTGTGGGTCTGGAGGTTTGTGATAGAGGAGTGTGGGTTTGGAAGTTTGTGAGGGACGAGTGTGGGTTTGGAGGTTTGTGATAGACGAGTGTGGGTCTGGAGGTGCTGATGGACGAGTGTGGGTTTGGAGGTTTGTGATGGACGAGTGTGGGTTTGTAGGTGCTGATGGACGAGTGTGGGTTTGGAAGTTTGTGAGGGACGAGTGTGGGTTTGGAGGTTTGTGATGGACGAGTGTGGGTTTGTAGGTTTGTGATGGACGAGTGTGGGTTTGTAGGTGCTGATGGACGAGTGTGGGTTTGGAAGTTTGTGAGGGACGAGTGTGGGTTTGGAGGTTTGTGATAGACGAGTGTGGGTCTGGAGGTTTGTGATAGACGAGTGTGGGTCTGGAGGTTTGTGATAGACGAGTGTGGGTTTGGAAGTTTGTGAGGGACAAGTGTGGGTTTGGAGGTTTGTGATGGATGAGTGTGGGTTTGGAGGTTCTGATGGACGAGTGTGGGTTTGGAGGTTGCTGGAGAACGGTCTGGTGCTTTGTGCCAAGTGTAAAGTTTGGTGGACGGGGATTATGGTGTGGGCTTGTTCTTCAGGAGCTCGGCTTGGACCCTTAGTTCCGGTAAAAGAAACTCTGAATGCTTCAGCAGACCAAGAGATTTTGGACAATTCCATGATCCCAACTCTGTGAAAACAGTTTGGAGATGGCCCTTTCTCTTCAACATGACACAAAGCAAGGTTCATAAAGACCTGGAGAGACTGAGAGCCAGACCTTCTTTCCAATATTAGAGTTTAATTTCACAAATGCTCTTCTGGAAGAGTGGTCCAAAATTCTCATAAACACACTCCTAAACCCTGTGGACACCTTCCTAGAAGAGTTGAAGCTGTTAGAGCTGCAAAGGAGACGTCATATTAAAGAATAGGATGTTGCTTAAATTCATGCGAGTCGAGGCAGATGAGCGAATACTTCTGGTAATATAGTGTAAGTTCAGGTGGGACAGAATCACAGGGATTTCTACAAATTGTACAAGGGTCTCAGAGAATCAAGTGCTCTGGACCAAGACTGCCGTGAACACGTCAAAGTAAATATGCTATGGATTTTTATTTACTTTTTTCAACTGCAAAAGATACAAAGATACAAAAGATGGACCTTTGTTACCATATTTTACCAACAGCACCCATAGTCGTAAGACCTCAGCAGATCTAAGGCTAAACTCATTCTCCATCAGACCTGATGATCTAAATTCATCCAAAGGCAGCTGATCCCCGCTCACAGCTGTTCATTGTTTCTGTGCACCTCCTGTACATCCTCGTACACAGAATATAAGACGACCAAACTGCAAAAGCTCAAGTATCTACTGATGGTGTCAGAATGCCGCTGGAAAAGTCCAGGACCTGTAGTGTCCGTCTCATGTTTCATGACAAACCTGATGAATAAATCCACAGTGTGAACTCTGTGGTGGAGCTGCTGCTGAGTGTCAGGTTTAGTGCTGTGCAGGTCCACTGCTCTTATGGAAACACTGAGGTGACTTTAGAACCCTGTTTTACTCTTGTCTCTGTCTTATTCTGTTCTTTTATGGACCACGAGTCTGGAATAAATAAATGATGATGTGTTTATTGTTTGACAGGGAGCCAGGCCCAGAGGAGCAGCTGGACGCCATATTCAAGGTGAGTACCTCACGAGCGCAGCAGGTGTGGGGTTTTGGAGACTCCTTAGATCCTCTCTGATTAAAACACTTGTCTTTTTATTCTGCTCCAGGTTCTGGAGGAACAGGTCCTGAGGTTTGTCCAACAGCAGCTGCAGAGGCTCCACAGGCTCCTGGCCTCAGATTACCCAGAATGCTCCGAGAGTGAGGAGGAGGAGAGCAGAGAGGTTCTGAACATCACCCTGGACTTCCTGAAGAGGATGGACCAGGAACATCTGGCCCAGCGCCTGAGAGACAGTAAGAACCTCCAGATGCCCTCCATCCTCCTGTATCCCTGTGTGTCAGGTGCCCTCCCGTGTGTCAGGTGTCCCCGTGTGTCAGGTGCCCTCCCCGTGTGTCAGGTGTCCTCCCCGTGTGTCAGGTGCCCTCCCCGTGTGTCAGGTGTCCTCCCCGTGTGTCAGGTGCCCTCCCCGTGTGTCAGGTGCCCTCCCCATGTGTCAGGTCCCTCCCCGTGTGTCAAGTGCCCTCCTGTATGAAATATTTCACATTCTAACTCTTGTGTGTTGTTTGAAGGACCTAAATATGGATTCAGAGATAAACTGAAGTGTGATCTGCAGCAGAGGTTCAGTCGTGTGTTTGAGGGCGTGGCTAAAGCAGGAGACTCCGCCCCCCTGACCCAGATCTACACAGAGCTCTACATCACAGAGGGCGGAGCCTCAGAGGTCAACCAGGAACATGAGGTCAGACACGTGGAGACGGCGTCCAGGAGACCGGCCGCTCCAGAGACCATCACATGTGAAGAGCTCTTTAAACCCCGCCCACATTCACCACAGCCAATCAGATTAGTGCTGACGAAGGGCGTGGCCGGCGTGGGGAAAACAGTGCTGACTCAGAAGTTGAGTCTGGACTGGGCTGAAGGCCGGGCCCACCAGGACCTCCAGCTGCTGTTCCCCTTCACTTTCAGAGATCTGAACGTGCTCAGAGACACACAGTTCAGCCTGGTGGAGCTGCTGCACCACTTCTTCAGTCCATCCAAAGATCTCTGCAGCTTCCAACAGCTCCAGGTGCTCTTCATCTTTGACGGTCTGGACGAGTGCAGACTTCCTCTGGACTTCGGCCGAACCCGGGTCCTGAGCGACCCCACAGAGTCCGCCTCAGTGCACGTGCTGCTGGTGAACCTCATCAGGGGAGCCTGCTTCCCTCCGCTCTCCTCTGGATAACCACGCGCCCCGCCGCGGCCAATCAGATCCCTGCTGAGTGCGTCTCCATGGTGACAGAGGTGCGAGGGTTCGCCGACCCGCAGAAGGAGCAGTACTTCAGGAAGAGGTTCAGAGACCAGGCCACGGTCGTCATCTCCCACATCAAGAGCGTCCGCAGCCTCCACATCATGAGCCACATCCCGATCTTCTGCTGGATCCTCTCCAAGTTCTACGGAAGCTTCTGGAACAAACAGAACCAGAGCTGCCCCGGACTCTCACACAGATGTACGTCCACTTCCTGGTGGTGCAGGCCAAAGTCCAGAACATCAAGTATCAGCAGGGATCAGGGGAGGACCTTCACTGGACTCCAGAGACCAGGGAGATGGTGAAGTCTCTGGGAAAAGTGGCCTTTGAGCAGCTGCAGAAAGGAAACCTGATCTTCTACGAGAGTGACCTGAGCGAGTGTGGGCTGGACGCTGCAGCGGCCTCAGTGTACTCCGGAGTGTTCACACAGGTCTTTAGAGAGGAGCCAGGCCTGTACCAGGACAAGGTCTACTGCTTCATCCATCTGAGTGTGCAGGAGTTTCTGGCTGCTCTTCACGTCCATCAGACCTTCTACAGCTCTGGAGAGAACCTGCTGGAGACACCACACTCCTCTGAGAGTCCAGACCCTGAGGCCTTCTACCGCTCTGCTGTGGACCAGGCCTTACAGAGTCCAAACGGACACCTGGACCTGTTCCTGCGCTTCCTCCTGGGGCTGTCTCTGCCGACCAATCAGAGGCTGCTGCAGGGTCTGCTGACTCACACAGGAAGTGACCCGACCAATCAGGAGACAGTAAAGTTCATCAAACAGAAGCTGGATGAAGAGGGTCTGTCTGCAGAGAGAAGTCTGAACCTGTTCCACTGTCTGAACGAGCTCAACGACCAAAGTCTGGTGCAGGAGATACAGAAGAAGATTAAAGAAAGACGTCTCTCTGATAGAACCATGTCTCCTGCTCAGTGGTCTGCTCTGTCCTTCATCTTACTGTCCTCAGACTCAGACCTGGATGAGTTTGACCTGAGGAAATACCAGGCCTCAGAAAGAACGCTCTCCTGGGTCTGCTGCCGGTGGTCAGAGCCTCCACCAAAGCCCTGTGAGTCCAGACTGTATTTAAACTCTTGTGTGGAGGTTCTAGTCTCTAATGTCCCTCTCTGTCCTCAGACTGTATTTAAACTCTTGTGTGGAGGTTCTAGTCTCTAATGTCCCTCTCTGTCCTCAGACTGTATTTAAACTCTTGTGTGGAGGTTCTAGTCTCTAATGTCCCTCTCTGTCCTCAGTCTTTGTGGCTGTGGTCTGTCTCCTCACAGCTGTGCTCCTCTGGCCTCAGTCCTCAGCTCCTCCAGTCTCACACATCTGGATCTCAGTCACAACGACCTCCAGGACTCAGGAGTGGAGCTGCTGTGTTCTGGACTGAAGAGCGCCCCCTGCAGACTGGAGACGCTCAGGTGAGACGCTCCCATGATGCACTCTGCCCCCTTGTGTCCACATGAGTGTAATGCTGTGTCTTTAGGCTGTCTGGATGTCTGGTCTCAGAGAGGGGCGGGGCTGCTCTGGCCTCAGCTCTGAGCTCCGCCCCCTCCCACCTCAGAGAGTTCGACCTGAGCTACAACCATCCAGGACCCTCCGCCGAGCTCCTGACCGCTCTACAGGACCAGCGCCCCCTGCTGTCTGTCAGGTGAGACTAGTCCTAGAACACTGGTCTGGTCTGGTCTGGTCCTGGTCTGGTCCTGGTCCTGGTCTGGTCTGGTCTCTGGTCCTGGTCTGGTCCTGGTCTGGTCTAAACTGGACTTGTGTGTTTCAGGTTGGATCCTGCTGGAGAGCGCTGGATGGTTCCAGGTCTGAGGAAGTGTGAGTTTTTTTTGTTTCCTTCACACAGTAAAGTGCAGAGAACAGCTCAGGTCATTCACTCAGGTCATTCACTCTGTTTCAAATGGTTCAAGTCTCTCTCAGTTTTCTTTCATTGGACCATTTTGGTGAAGTTTATTATTTCACTGGGACATGAGCCGCAGATGTGACATGTCGAGGTGATTCCATGAGAAATTCAAACATACTGAAGTCACAGTTAGACGCCAATAAAACATAAACCATTTTTCATTTGTCAGTTCACAGAATCAGGCGTCAAAGTGACAGATCAGGAGTCTGTCGTCGAGCTGCTTGGAGGTGTAGATAGATGCTGGTAGATTCCATCCTACAGGTTGAAGACCTCTGGCCTTGATGAACTTGAGCACGAAGCCCATGACACAGAGTCAAATCTCCCAAGAGTTTATTTCTTAAATTTTTATGACTGTGGCTCACAGATAAACAAAAAACAAACAAACAAACAAACAAACAAAAAACAAAATCTGTGTCTCCAAAAATTTGAATATTGTGAAAACTTTCAGTTTTGGAAAGTCACGGTGTCAAACCTTAATCTGCTGATTAAATGAGAGGATCCTGAGCCTTTAAATGGTTTCTCAGTCTGGGTCAGAGGGGTCATGGGGAAAGTCCAGAAGTCACCGAACCCTCCACAAGGACAAAGCCACAGAAGGTCTTTGCTAAAGAAGCTGGTTGTTCACAGAGTCCAGACACAATCACAGAAACGTGAGTGGAAGAAAAAAATGTGGTAGGAAAAATTCAGAATTTGTGGAGCTTCATGAGGAGTGGACTGAGCCTCTGCACACAGACCAGACCAGAATTACAGAAATGATGATAAAAAGTTATTAGCAGCTCTACTTGTAGCAAACAAAAAAATAGCCTTTACAAGAAAACGGCTGAGGACGGATCCTCCATCGACAGAACAGTGGATAGAAACAGTCTGTGACATTTATGTGATGGAAAAACTGTAAACACTTTAAACACGATTGAACGACTGTAACGACTCTCTTCTCCTCTGTGTTTGTTTTTTGTTTTGTTTTGTATAATTGAAAAATAAAAAAAAATAAAAACCCAAAAAACTATAAGAGCCTCAACAACAAGAAATGTAAGGCAAGTTTATTTGTACAGCACAATTCGTACACAAAGTGCTTTACAGAATAAGAAATACATTAAAATCACAATTAAAAGAAAGTGAAAAAAGGAGTTTTTAGGAGCGACTTAAAACAGAAAACTTGAGCTCTCTTCCACCTAAATGTAGAAATAATTAAAACAAAATTAAAAAAAAAATGATGAGAATGAAATGTTTGTGTTTCAGACTCCTGTGACGTCTCTCTGGACCCAAACACGGTGAACAGTGTGCTGCTTCTGTCTGAGGACCATCGGACTGTGACTCGAGTGGAGGAGGAGCAGGAGTATCCAGATCATGACGACAGGTTCACAAACTGGGAGCAGGTCCTGAGCCGCACTGGCCTGAGGGGGCGCTGTTACTGGGAGGTGGACTGGAGCAGGGAGGTTTCTGTAGGTGTGAGTTACAGAAAGATCAGACGGAGCGGACGGACACTGGAGAACGTGTTTGGATTCAACGATCACTCCTGGAGTCTGAGGATCTATGATGAAGGAGAGTTCTGTGTCACCCACAACAACAACTCAACACAACTGCACAGCTCCTGTCGTCCGAAGGGAGGAACCGTGTCCTCTGGTGAAAGGGGCGAGTTCTCGGGCAGAGTGGGCGTGTTCCTGGACTCTGAGGCTGGAGCTCTGTCCTTCTATGAGGTCTCCTCTGATGGAGAACTGTTCCACCTCTGGACCTTCTCCTCGTCCTTCTCTGAGCCTCTGTTTCCAGGGTTTGGACTGAGGAAAGAAGGTTCCTCTGCGACTCTGGTGAAGGAGACGAGACAGTGAACTCTTCTGAGAAACTGTATTTGTCCCACATGAGAACAGAACAAAAGATGTGCAAGATAAATAACAAAACAAAAGTGTAGCGTCCCTATTTTGACCTTTGAAACTGTGAGGAGCACCCACTTCTCTGCTGCCGTAGAACCAGAACTTCAAGTAAGAAATGTTCAACCACCCAAGTAGTTTTGGGCTCATATCTCCACATTTACATGAGAGCTTTTATTCCGAATCAAAATAATTGAATTCTGAAGAAAAATGAATTCTGCTTTAAAAAGACTTAAGTAAGTAGGAGGTTTATTCTGATTTAAAGAAATGAATTTTCCTTCATGTTTCTCGTTTCTTCTTGTTAAAAAGAATGTTTGTCCTTCTGACGTGTGATCCGGACGATCCGGCTCCACCAGTCGTGTCTCGGGACTTTGATCCACGTCTCTTTGGATTTGTGAGCGGGATGCGGGAGTGGGCCGAGCTTTTGTCTTCTTCCTCCTTCTCCGACGCTCTTCCCTTCTCCTCCTCCTCAGCTCACAGACGGAAAGTGTGATGAGACGATTCTCCAGCCGCTGCTTCCAAGCCGAGAGGATCACACAAACACAAATCAACAAATACAACGCCTCAACAAAACAAACGCCTCAACAACACAAACGCCAACAAACACAAACAAAACAAATACAAACGCCTCAACAAATACAAACGCCTCAACAAACACAAACGCCTCAACAAATACAAACGCCACAACAAACACAAACGCCTCAACAAATACAAACGCCTCAACAAATACAAACGCCTCAACAAACACAAACGCCACAACAAACACAAACGCCACAACAAATACAAACGCCACAACAAATACAAACGCCTCAACAAATACAAACGCCTCAACAAACACAAACGCCTCAACAAACACAAACGCCTCAACAAATACAAACGCCTCAAAACAAACGCCTCAACAAACAAACGCCACAACAAATACAAACGCAAATACAAAAACAAATACAAACGCCACAACAACAACAAAAAGCCACAAAAAAACAAAAAAAAGCCACAACAGAAGTGACCACGGGACTCTATTTTCCGTCGGACCGATCAAGGCAAGTGAAGAAGAAGAACTACAACGAAAAGAATAATGATAAAACAATTAATTACTTTTACTTACGTTTCCAACTTCTCCGTTCCTTTACTTTTCACGTTGTATTCTTCTTCTTCTTGACGCTTAAATGCGGTCTCGCGGTCATTGTGGCCTTTT